TTTGAAAGCCATCACTATGTCATTAACCTTTCTTCGGACTAAGAGACTCGAAAGCGAGAAAATACGACGACGTTGCACCCCGTCAGGAATAAACTCATAGCTCAAACCAGAACATCGCATAGCGAGTTTACGGGTAAAGCTATTCTGGACACTCTCTAAATGACGAATGTCCTTTTTCTTGGAGGGAAAGAAAACTGTTGTCCCTGACTCAAGTATGGGTCTGACATACGTTTTATAAGCCTGTATGAGCGTTTTTGGATCCTTGGAGCGGATCGCTCTGAATAGGTTGTAGGTTCTGAACATAGCCTTCGACACAATTTCTTTATAATGCTTTTCGAAAGAGAGCATATTATCGAATCCGAAGCCAAGATCACGTATATCAGTGACAACTTCCAGTTCATTCTCGCCCAATTTGTAGCTCATATTAACCTTGCACTTCCCTACGGAAAATACCTTAGTTTTGTCGCCAGAGAGCGGCAGAGCCCACTTGGAAGACCAGCGTTCAATGGCACTAATCGCGGCTTGAACGTCATCCCGATCTTGTGAACTTTCAACAGCCTTGTAGATTTTTATATCATCAGCGTACATCAAACATGTTACTCCACGACTCGAGATGGCACTTGGCAAATCACATGTATAAATCGAAAAGAGTAGCGGGGATAGAACATCACCCTGGGATTCAGTAAAGAACGCAAACATTTCTAATGGAATAACCTGTAAAAAAAGGAGTTATGCCAGTGTCAGTATTCAACAAGTGAAATTTAACGTTAGAAAGTCAAGGCTTCCATGCATTGTTCATGCCCGTCACTTGCTTCAAAGAAAATAGAAAATATATGATTTGAACCTGGATTTTAAGTGCTCCCCCGAAAACATACGTAATTGTGTACACAACGTATCCGCGAGCCCAACCCGTTAAGCAAACGTTCAGATGTAGAGCCACCCCCATTTCTAAACCACATTCAACTGCAATCTACTAGGTAGCCCTATCACCAAAACATTCGTTTTGTTCAGCACTTCGGCTCACATTAACTTATTAAAGGAAGGCTGTTACAGGATATTTTCAAGGCATTTTTTAAGATCAGCACTTCGATTCTTAGGAGTGTTGCGGTATTCAATGAATCGCTTCAGGGTTTTCTATAAACGGGGCAACTTTTTTCTTGGTGGACAAGTGAACACTCTTCAGTAGGTTATTCACAGCTACTCAATTGTCAGCAGGTCCCCGGAATAACATGGGAAAATTCATAATAAGACATGATAGTAAGTTCCCTGACCAGGGAAGGATCCCAAGTCGAAGTGGCCATTTGAAATGAGACCTACACTGCTAGACGTGTCCTTGGATGCTGAGTTCAAATCTGCTTTCCAAATTTGCCGAGCGTTTCTCTGAACGGTGTTATGAGGGTGGTTTCAGGGAGCTTAGCATGAGAAAACTTAAATTA